CTGTAACTCCAGTTCTAGGGGATCCAATGGTCTCTTCTGTCCTCTGTGGGCATTGCATGACACGGGTGCACTTACCTACATGTAGGCATACACTCATACACATAATAATAATATATATAAGCATCATGGCTCTTAGATTCTGGACAATGTAGTTGTGAAGAATAAGTAGGTAAGTTATTAATAGCTTCTGGATTTTTCTTTGAATATCGGTTACATAAAAGGACCTCATGCAATTCTGGCTTGCTAGGGACAAAGGGTTTTGGATCGCAAGCGTTAAATAGTACATCTTTGGATGTACTTCTCAACATAGGAAGTAATCCACACCTCAGGGCAGTACAGAGCAGTCAGCTCCACTTTGACTCCTACAGAAAGGATAAAGATTGAACATGGAATGTGGCGGGTGTAATTTAATATCATATTAATGTTCTTTAGCTTGTTTCAACTAAATGTGTAATAAAAGCAAATCCTAATAAACTGGTTGTTAATTTCATTTAACAATATTGTCTAGTTTTTCTATATTAATGAGTTTTCTCCTGCTTTAAAATGTGTCTTGTAGAAAAATTCCAAAAGAAAGTTCTATCAGGATGCTGTCAGTTCATCTTTCTTAAGCTCCCTAACAGCAAGTGAGGTCTTTGCAGACCTCTGAACTTGTCAATGTGAAAACAAGGGTCTCCTCTGCCCCACCCTGCCACACTGGAAGGCTGCCTAGTCAAGGGACTGAATGGAACACCATGCTACCTATTCTGCAAGAAGCTACTGACACCTAGGACTTTTAATTTAAATAACCGGCCAGGCGTGATGGCACACACCTTTTCCAGCAGTTGGGAGGCAGAGGCAGGCAGATCTCTGATCTCTGTGAGTTTGAGGCCAGCCTGGTCTACATAGTGAGTTCCAGGACAGCCGGGGCTATGGAGACCCTGTTTCAAAAAAAAAAAAAAAGAAAAGAAAAGAAAAAGAATTGGTCTATAAACTGGTCACTGTAGAGGACTGCACTTGAAGACTCTAACAGTAGTGTGTGAGAACCTTGCTTTGAAGCCCGGCACAGGTAGAGTGAGGATTCCTGTGGTGTGACATCCTTAGAACCAGGGGTCCAAACAGGCATTTCCACCCCAGCATTCTTTAAGTTGGTTTAATAATCACAGTTAGAAAAAAAATCATAGTTAGAAATAGTAGTTTCAGTGTTAAACTACTGTTAATGCTGGGCATGGGGGTTCATGCCTTTAGTCCCAGCACCTGGAAGGCAGAGGCAGGTGGCTCTCTGTGAGTTCAAGGCTAGCCTGGTCTACATAGTGAGTTCCTGGCCAGCTGGAACTACAGGGAGACCCTGTCTCAAAAAACAAAAACCAACAAAAATACTATTCACTTGGAAATAAAATTTCCATCTTCAATAGTTTCTAAGTAGTGTTTAAATTTCTACAAAACGCTGTTTTGGGTGTGGTGCCACACCTGTAATCCTAGCATTTGAGACTTGGTAGCAGGAGGATCAGGAGTTCAAGGCCAGCCTCAGTTACTTAGTAAGTCAGAGGCCAGCCTGGGCTGAAATTGTCTCAAGCAAATAAGAATGTTTTGTTTTAAATGTATCTTTAGCCAGGCTGGTGTTTAATCCCAACACTCAAAAGCAGAGGCAGGCAGGTCTCTGTGAGGTCAAGGCCAGCCAGGTCTATATAGCAAGTTCCAGGCCTGTTGAGGCTACAGAGAGACACTGTCTAAAAAAAGACCATAAACATAAATAAAAAATAAAATCTATCTTAAAATTTGTCATTTATAGTACTCAGGAGGTAGAGGCAGGGAGATTTTTGTGAGTTTGAGGGCAGTCTGATCTACACAGCAGTTCCAGGCCAGCCAGAGCTACATAGTGAGATCTTGTATCCAAAAAAAAAAAAAAAAGCCCTCATTAATGGCAAACCTAGCAACTAGAAGACGGAATTGTGAAATGAGCAATTTTATGTCATGTAGCTTTTTAATGAATGATTAGTAAGTTTGGCTTGAAAACAGACATGCCTTCCAGGTAAGCCAGCACTGATGATGGCTCAGGGCTCTAACAGCCCTGTCTGCTTCAGAGCCTTGTGCCTCACAATCCTGTGCAGTTTGTTTTCCTCATAGCTACCTCTCTGTATAGAGCAAAAAGCCTAGAAATAGGGAGTGTCCAGGCCCCCGTAGGGTCATGGGGAATCATACTATCTCTTAGTTTCTGACGTGGGCAGATGAGATATCACTGTTTTTGGTATCATCTCCAGGGTTGCATGTGACAGATCACATACATTTTCCACAACATGCTAGTTGCAGCACAAGGTTTACAGTCAGGCTAGTGCGCGGTGGGCCAACCTCACAGCTGTTCTCACTCGTGCTCCATCCTACTCCATTCATTTCTAGGCTTTTCTGTGGATAGTCCTCAGCCTTCTCCCTCCAGCCAGAAGAGCCAGCTGAGCCTGAGCCCTGAGCCTCAGGTAACTGTAAGCACAGCTGAGCAGGGCTTGGACCCTGTCCTCAGTGATGCTGGTGCATCCAGGATGGACAACCAAGAGGAGCAGAAACACAAGGTGGGCCACTCCTGAGGCCGAGGTGCTGCTGGGGCCTGGTTTGCAAACCCTGGCTGGGGAGCCCTGGGTGGGCTGGGTAGGGCTCTGTCACACCCTGAAAATGTAGGACAGATCCCAGGAAAAAACTTCTGAGACCATACTATTACTGCTGGAACTCAAGTATCCATTGCACAGGCAAGTTTTCCTGTTCATTTAACAGTCAGTTTTGGCATTTGTGAGTTCCAAGCGTCAGGCTGGATCCTGGAGATAAGTGGAAAGGGGACAGGACATCCCCTAATGGGTTCACTGCTTCCCCCTTCTCACCCTCCATCTACTTCCTCCCTCCTTACTTTGAGCTGAGTAACTTGGAGATTGGGTTGCCAAGGGATGGTTGGCTGGGGGTCAGGGTATCTCATTTGAGAGACCTGATGGGTAAGAAGGCCCAGTCAACATTGGAGATAGTAGAGCCTGCAGTGGGAGGTCCTGGAATTTGTGACAGGGCTATGGGTTTGTGGTGGAAGGTTGACACTGTACCTGTGGGTCTCTGTAGTGAGGGTACCTGTTGAGTCTGCAGTGAAGAATGGCCAATAGTGGACCCCACTTACTCATAGATGCAGAGAACCAGGTAGGCTGTGAGTTTGAGGCCAACCTGGTTTGCATGGCGAGTGCCAGGCCATGGCCCCATCCATGCCAAACCTGGTTAGGTCTCACATGTATATCTGGCTTCTCAGCTCTTTGTGGGAGAGTGAAGAATGCACAGCCCTCCAACCCTGCTGTTGGAAGCAGGTCTGTAGAGTGAGACCCTGTCTCAAAACAAAATTCAGATGCAGTCAATTGCCAGTGGCCTTAAGGTGGCCTCCACCTGGCATTACAGCTTTGTAGGTGGGCAAACAAGGTTTAGGGAAAGAATAGACCTAAAATAGTAAGCCATGATGGTGATCTCCTAGGAGGCCACAGAGATGAAGTTGGAGTTTGAGCATCAGCTCAGGAGATGGGTAGTAGGGCCTGAATAGGTGGGACCTGCCTCAGGCACCATCCCAGAAAAGGACCTTTCCTTGTAACACCTGTGCTCACCCATTTGTTTATATTTGCTGTTACTATACAGAACCACCTGAGACAAATCAACTTATAAAAAGAAAAGTTATTTTGGCTCACAGTTTTGACGGTTTCAACCCATAGTCAGGTTGACTCTGCTGCTTTGGGCCTGGGACAGCACATCTTGATGAGAGCTCATGGTGGAACAGAGCCATTTACCTCATGGCCAGGACATGAAAGAGAAGGGGCTATAGTCCCATTATTCCCTTTAAGGGTATACCCCGATGGCCTAAAGAACTCCCACTAGGCCTCACCTTGAAATTTTCACCATATCCTCAGAAACATTCTAGATCCAAACTATAGCAATATTTTAATATGAATTAGCCAAAGGATGACAGGGCCCATGGAACACTTGAGAGTCCTCAGCATGTAGGACAGCACCCATCTCCACAAAGTGTGAGACAGGCTGCCCCTTCCCTGTGCCCAGGGATCCTCTGGAATCCCAGCTTGACTGAAACAGCCCATTGAACCAGAAGGTGGGGCTGTGGACACAAGGTGGCTATCCTGGGGATCCCCCAGGCCAAGGCTGGCCCACTTCCAGGACCACAGATCCCTCCTTATCAGCTTGCTCTGAGGAGGCCACTGTGCTTCTTGGATGACTTTGTGTTTGGCAGGAAGATGGCTGTTACATGGACATCTGTATTTATTTTAGAAACTTAGCAGTTGTTTATTTCACCATTTCCTTAGTGTAAAAACAAATGGATTAGAGGAAATCTGGTTTTTCATTTTTTTAAATTATTTTTTATTTTAAATGTGTGAGTCTTACCTGCATGTAAGTGCACCCATGCCATGCAGTGCCCTCGGAGGACAGAAGAGGGTCTCAGATCCCCTGGAACTGGAGTTAGACAGTTGCTAGCTGCCATGTGGGTGCTGGGATTTGAACCCGGGTCTTCTGCAAGAGCAGCCAGTGCTCTTAACCACTGAGCCATCTCTCTAATCCCAAAATCTCTAAAACTAAAATTTTAGGGGCTGGAGAGATGGCTCAGCAGTTAAGAACACTGACTGTTCTTGCAGAAGACCCAGGTTCAAATCCCAGCACCCACATGGCAGCTAACAACTGTTCGTGACTCCAGTTCCAGGGGATCCGACAGCCTCTTCTGTCATCCGTGGGCATTGTACTTGCACGACATGGGTGCACTTACCTACATGCAGGCATAACACTCATACACATAAAATTAAAATAAAAATAAAATATTTAAAAATAAAACTAAAATTTAATATTACATTTTTTTTTTAAAGTTGATTCTTTGTTCTATAGTATAATAGCTTGTCACACCTGAGTTGTCTGCCTGGCTATTATGACACAATCTGAGAACACCCTACCCAAGCCCTCTCTGGTAGAGTCTCCTCCAGCCGTGAAGCAGCCACTCTAAAGGATTTGATCCTGGTCTTTCCTCCCCAGCCACCTTTCCCCTGGGGCAACTATGCAATCCCAAGCATGGGTGGACTCTCAGACAGCAAGGACAGCCCTTCCTTCACAGTCCTCCAGTCTATCTCAGACCCCGGAGGGTCACTGAGCAAACTGGTTTCCAGTCATAAGCAGCTGAGGTCCATTCTGGAATTAGGCTTTCACCAGCGTCCACTGCTGTGCTGACTTTGTAAACCAGAGCCATCAGCTCTCCTGAAGGGCCTGGGCAGCATCTGCTTCTTCGGTTTTGCATATGGAAATGAGTTAGAGTTGGATGGCCCCATCCATGCCAAACCTGATTAGGTCTCACGTGTACATCTGGCTCCTCAGCTGTTTGTGGGGGAGTGAAGAATGCACAGCCCTCCAACCCTGCTGGTAGGAGCAGGGGCCAGCCCTGTTCTCCTCCCTCCACTGTTTCCCACTTGACACAGTCCTTTTCCTTTCTAATAAGAGACTGGTGAGGACCAACATTCAGAAGGTAGGATGGCCAGAGGTGGCAGAAGCTTTTTTCCATGTGCTCATGAGGGTCTAGAGATAAGAGCAATGCTCCCTGTGGTTACCATTGGCAAAGCTGAGTGGAAATGCTATTCCCTTCACTAAGCTTTCCCTCATCTACCCATGAATCCCTGACCAGCAGCTCAGCTTGCTTGAGTTTGACATGATCATTCTGGAAGTGCAGGGGCAGAGCAGTTTGTGTCTGTTGTATTTTCTGTCCCCCCACTCGGTTTTCCTTGGTTTAATGAGGCATGGATCACGCCAGAGAAGCAGTATCTTCTGTTCACTCTTGTGGACAGTATCTTGTGTCCCTTTGTCACCACCACAAGGAGAGTTATCCTCACTGATACTCTGGGGCTGGTTTTGGCACATGGCTCTGTCCCAGGGATGAGGAACTGATCTGGGGCTTGGGAGACTGGTTTCTGTAGAACATACAGAAGTCAAAATGTGTTTTGGGGCCTCATGTAAAAGATAACTGCCATTAGGAGGCTATCTTCCCTGACCTGGGCTTCATCCCAGGCCAAGGCCAATAGTGTGCAGAGTTAACATCCAGAACTTCTTTCCTACTGTAGTGGAGGCTGGGGTCGTCCAGACCATAGATGTGGGCCTCTTGGGGACAGCTCTTACCCCTGGAAGTTCATGAGGCATGCCAAGCCAGGGGGACAGGGGAATAAGACTTTAAAAAAGAGACTTCATTGAATTTGGACTTGTAAAAGGCATAGCATAAAATAGAAAAACAAAAGGTTGGAAAGATGTGTGAGCTGTTCTGCTGGGGAGGAGGGCTAGCACTCTAGGCACAGCAGGTATACCAAGGGCTGGAACCAGGGACAGAGCCATCATGTAGCTGCCAGTCATTGAGGAGGTGCTAAGAGAAGCCGCTTATGGCTTCTGGGGAGAGGATGCAGGACTGGGCTCTGAAGGGCTTTGGTGCTGTGAGTTACAGTCGTGCATCTCTAGTGGGCAGAAGGCACTGTGCCTTCGCAACTACCATAGCATGGGCTCCAGGCACACAAGGTAAACAAACCTCATTACTTCTTTATTCTAGAGACTATGAGAGAATGCTAGAGTCTGTCTTGAACCAGTAGGGCCTCTGATGGGGCCTCCTGGGGTACTTGCTTCTCTTGTGGCTTGTGAAGCATATCCCAGGCTATTGTGCAAACTCCACCTGGTTTTTCCTCCCATAAGTGGTCCTTCCCACCTCTGGTGATGACAGCCGCTCTTTCCTTTAAACCAGAATTTGCTGTAGTTATTCCTGCTGCCTCTGTCCCTCACAGAACACATTTACACCAGCACCATCTCACTGGACTAGTGCAGGAGCCTTTTTTTTTTCTTTTTTTGCAGGGGAGGATTTTTTTAAAATACTTTTTTAAGATTATTTTTTTTATGTGCATGAGTATATTGTCTACATGTGTGTGAGTGCACTTGTGTCACGCATTTCCTGCAGAGGCCAAAAGATGGTATTGAAGCCCCTGAAATGAGTTACAATCATTAGCCATCATGTGGGTGCTGGAAATTGAGCCCAGGTCCTCTGCAAGAGCAGCCAGTACTCTTAAGCACGGAGCCACCCCTCCATTGGCCTGTTGAGGCTCCTGTCTGTCCCTCCAGTTCTGCTTGCATCCTGGGTTACAACCATTTTATAATGTATTCACATTGACCCAAAACACTCCAAAGCACCAGAAGCAAATGGCTTTCTTTCATCTCCCTTTTATTATTCCAACTCACCCTCTGCTCCTTGACATCAACCTTATTTTCTGACCCACCTTGTCCATGCCAAGTGAGTTTGTGACCTGACTCCATTCTTTCCAGTCTCCAGCCCTTTCCACCTTATCCTCTGCATTCTGGACGCTATTCTACCATGAGTTGCAACTCCTTCATTGACTTTATGTACTGTGCTAGACACAGTACCTGATGGAGATCTGTGAGCTCCTTAGACTGGTCCATCTCATGTTCTGTATTAGCAGACATAAGGGAAGCTGCCGCAAGCTGAATCCAGACTGAACTGAAGTCTGCTTCCCCATTCAGGAAGTACATCAGCTAACTTGTACTCTTACATAGGCTCATTTAGACTATATACTGGTAATTGTGATGACTTTTATGAGTTAAGTTTAATTATTTTAATCACATACTTAATCATATATACTTAAAAACACAGTTGTAGTTCTGTATCTAATAACTAAATTGATAGCAGTAATAGAGTAACATAACTTTATCACAAAACCAATAATAAGGTTCAGCTCCGTTTACATATATTGATATTTGAATAGCAATTCTTTTCTCCAGAAATATATATAAACTGAAAAAAAGATGTGAGAAATAGTCATGGGCTTAATTGTGAGTCTATTTTTGACTTAAAAGTAAATCCCAGGGCAGGAGAAATGCTCAGCAGTTAAGAGCATTTGTTGCTCTTGTAGAGGACCCAGGTTCACTTCTCAGCACCCATTTTGCGCAGTTCGCAACAACCTATAACTCCAGTTCCAGGGGACCTGATGCCATCCCCTGGCCTCTGTGGGTACCAGCACATATGGTGCACATACATACACATAAAGTAAAATAAATAAATCTTTTTTTAAAAGTAAATCTCAGCTGGGCGTGGTGACACACGCCTTTAATCCAGCACTTGGGAGGCAGAGGCAGGCGGATCTATGTGAGTTCAAGGCCAGCCTGGTCTACATAGCGAGTTCCAGGACAGCTGGGGCTCAAGGGAGACAAAAAAAGACAAAAAGAAAGAAAAAAAAAAAAAAAAAGAAAAGTAAATCTCTTTAGGAATTATGACAGAAAGTCTTGTGATGGTAGTAACCTCAGCAGAATTGTTCCAAATCCCAGGCTCTCCTTGAATGAGAAAAGGTAACATGTCCCCAAGGAATATGCTCATGGCTATCTCTGCTTTTTTCAGCACATGCCAGAGGATGAGGCCTATTTCATAGCAAAGGAGATTCTTGCTACAGAACGGACATATCTGAAGGATTTAGAAGTTATTACTGTGGTATGAAACCTAATTACTTGGATTTCCTTGATGTTTTAAATATAAATGCAGATAGAGGCTTCATCTTGAGAAATAAGCCTTGACAATCATGGAACCTACATGTGTAACTTCTTTTATATATCTGCCTTAGCCAGGTGTGGTGGCACATGCCTTTAATCCCAGCACTCAGGAGGCAGAGGCAGGTGGATCTCTGTGAGTTCAAGGCCAGCCTGGTCTACATAGTGAGTTCCACGACAGCTGGGGCCTTTCAATATGATGTCTGTTAGGTGAGAACAATCACATCCAAATTTTTGGACGCTCTAAAGCTAAGAATGGGTCCATCTAAAAATTTTGACCTAAAATTGTTTCATTATATTTGAAAGTTACATGGTCAGCAAAGAGGATAGCTGAACTTCTGATGTGAGCTAGCCTCATAAACTCTGACTAGAGGGTCTTTGCTGGTGTCCTGAGGTCACATGGTCATGGCCTCTCAATCTCTGGCAAAGGCCAAACCTCTTATCACGCCAAACTCCTCCCACAGTGGTTCCGGAGTATGGTGGTCAAAGAAGATGCTATGCCTGCATCCCTGATGGCCCTGCTTTTCTCCAACATTGATCCAGTCTACGAGTTCCATAGAGGCTTCCTGCGTGAGGTGGAACAGAGGCTGGCACTCTGGTAATAATGCTGTGTTCCAGATGGCCCCATTTCTCTGACACCCTCCAAAGGAGACTCCATGGGTGACTCCCATATCCCAGACCTCTACTGTACCCAGTGGTGGCCCCTTGCCCTGGACAACTATATAGGCAGTGCCAGAGTACTGACCTCTCCTTGGGTAGTACCTATCCTTGACTCCATCACTTGTCTCAGGAAATTCCCAGCTTCGTAAACAAATTCATAACAACTTATTTCACTGAAGTGTTTTTAAAATCTTATTGATGGCTGGAGAGATGGTTCAGCAGGTTAAGAGCACCTGCTGATCCTACAGAAGACTCAGGTTCAGTTCCCGGCACCCACATGGTGGCGAACAATCATTCATAACTCCAGTTCCAGGGGACTCTGACACCCTTTTCTGACCTCCATGGGCACTACATGACACAGGTGCACTTACACATATGCAGGTAATAAGCACACATTTAAAAATCACAAAAGTCAGAAAGGTCCTGTTGACAGAGTAAACAATAAAACTTTCCTCACTATTCCAGAAAAAGAATGAAAGGAGTGAGTTCACAGTGGGCGGACATGTTTTCTTCTGGTTACCATCATGTTTTTTTCACGTTTTATAAGTATGGATATTTTACCTGTATGTATGTCTGGGCACCACATGTGTGCCTGGTACCTAAGGAAGTCAGAAGAGAGTGTTAGATCCCTTAGAACTGGAGTTACAGTTCTAAGCTGCCATCTGGGTCCTTTGCAAGAGCAGCCAGTGCTCTTAGCCACCGAGCCATGTCTCCTGTCCTGGTTACCATCAGGTTTAGAGACTGTTTAGAAACTGTCAAGTAAAATTCCGTCCACCTCCACTATCCCATCATTCATGACTCTAACTCTAAGAACAGTGACACATAATCCCAGCCCTAGAAAGGCAAAGGCAAGAGAACACAAGTCTGAGGCCAGTCTCAGCTGCATAGTGAAACCCAGTCTCAAAAAACCAAACCGAACAAACAACATACAGCTGTGACTAGAACAATTCATCACACTACCATCAAATTATGTATCTTCCACAAGCTTCCATTGGTTTTATGAACTTTCTTGTTCCCCTACTCAGGGAAGGGTCCTCCAATGCCCATTTGAAAGGTGATCATCAACGAATTGGGGATATCCTACTCAGGAACATGCATCAGTTAAAGGTAAGACTGACTGGCTTGTGTGGTGACTCCAGGCCCAGTGTAAAAGCTGTGGGTGGAAACACATCTAATTGTTCTCCTCAGAACAGTGTTCCCTTCACAGCAGAATTTCCTAACAGACACCATTCCCAAGACCCAAGTTCATGTCAACAGCATTCACAGCAGGGCTCAGGCCCCTCAGATGAGCACTGGCCTTAGAAGGGGATTCTTGTCAGAACACCAAGCCCTTAAACTTCACGCAGTACAGAGCTCTCCTAAAGCGTTCTTGTCCCCAGAACAAGGTTCTACTAATAGCCGCATTAACAGTGCTCCCCTCAAAACACACTTCAGTACAATGTTCCTTCCCGCAGGCCAGTTCCCTCAAAACTGTTCAAAGCAGTTCCAGTCAAAACACAGTTCAGGATTCTCCAGGAAGGGATTTTTTTTTTTCAGAACAGGGTTTCCCTCAAAACACTGTTTCCTAAGAGTACTGTTGCTTAAAAAGGAGTCCTCTTAGAACAAGGTTCCACTTCGGTACAAAATTTTCTTAAAATAGCATTCCCTTCAAATCAGGATTCCTCTCAGAACAGCATTCCTAAGAATAGGTTCTCCCTTAGCTTTTTCCAGAGAAATATTCTCCTAAGAACATTTCCCTCTTAACGGTGTTCCTCAAAACCTCCCAAAGCATTTCCCTGGACAACTTATCTCACCAAATAATATCCCCCAGTATCTGGTTTTTATTCAGAATATCTTTCTCTATTATATACTTTCCCTCAGGATAGAGTCCTTTGAAACAGGGATCCCATCAAAATATTCCCCTCAGAGCAAGATTCCTTTTAGAGCCGTTACCTCAGAGCACATACACAGCATAGATACCTCAGATCACACTTTTTATCTAGTACAGAATTCTTCTCAGAACAGGATGCCTAAAACAAACTTCCCATCGTTACCTTTACAACAGGGGTCTTTTCAGAATAGTGTTCTCCTTAAGACAGAATTTCCCAGAACAGGTATTTCATCAGAACAGTTCCCCCAAATAAATTTTCCCCTAATTCCCCTCAGAAAAAAAAGTCTTCCATCACAATGAACTACCTGCAGAGCAGGATTTCTGAGAATAACATTTACCTCAAAATATCACTGCCCAGAATAGGGTTCACCTCAGACAGCCTTCCCTACAGCAGTTCTCTTTAAACCATTCTTAGAATAACAGAAGACAGCTTACTTCAGAACAGGGTTCTCACGTCCAAGTAATTCAGACTGGCATTCCCTCAAGGTAGCATTCCCTCAGAACAGTGTTCACCTCAGAGTAAGATTTCTCAAAGCAGATTTCTCCTTAGAACAGTGTTCCTCAGACGAGATTTCCCCTCAGAGAAGATTTGCCCTCAGAATAGTTTTTGCCAAAACATGTTTCCATCCATAACAGAATCACTTAAAGCATAATTCCTCTCAGAACAGGAGTCTTTTCAAAGAGGATTCTCCTCAAAGCAGAATTTCCTCAGCCCCGTTCCTCTTAGGCAACATATCTCTCAGAACAGAGCTCCCTTCAGAATAGCTTTCCCCAGATCAGCCTTCTTCTCTGATGTCCCTCTCAGAATAAGATTCCCCCAAACAGCATACCCCTTAGAACAGCTTTTCCTAAAACGTTTCCCCTCAGAACAGTCTGACTGTCCTTGTGAACTGCGCTCCTCTGAGAATAGCACTCCTCAGAACAAGGTTCTCCACAGAAGTTTCCCCTCAGAACACCATTCCCCTTAAAGGTACCTTGCCCTTGGAGTGTAGTTCCTAACCGCAGGGCTTCCTTTAAACACTCAGAATGGATTTCCTCAGAACAGTCTTTCCCTAAAAACAGGGTTCTACTCAGAGTTTCTTTCAATGGGGTTTCCCTCAGAATACTTTTTTCAAGAGCAGCCTCCCCCTCAGAACAACCTTCCTCAGAATAGCATTCCCTTCATAACAGTGTCCCCTCAGAATCATATTCACAACAGAACAGGGTTCTCCTCAGTAGCTTCCCCTACAACAGCATTCCCCTTAAAGCACTGGTCCCCTCAAATCAGGGCTTTTCAGTGCATGTTCCTGAGAATGGGATTCTCCCTCACTACAACAGTACTGAAAACTGATTCCTAGATCTGGGTTCCCCTCAGAATAGAATCCCCGTAAAGCAGCTCCTCTCAGATTAGTTTCCTAGCACAACATTCTCTGCAAAACACTTCCCTCACAGAGTTCTCTTAAGAGTAGGGTTCCCTTTGGAACAATACACCCTAAAACAGGTTCCCTAGAACATAACTTCCTCAGAACAGTTTCCCACAGGACTGTGCTCTCCTTAAAATATGACTCCTTTCAGAACTTCATCAGAGAACAGTAGTCTCCTTAAAACAGTGTGCCTAGTGTAAAATTCATGGCATTCCCATGCCATGAGACTGGCATGGGGCTTGTTTCTGCCTGGGCTGCTGAGCTCAGTTCATGAGAGCATTCATGCTCTGTGAAGTAAATATACTAAGAAGCACACAAATGGAGTGACTTCTGGATGGTCAGTCAGCACCAAAGAAGAACCAGGATATTCCTTCATTAGAACCACTGGTTTTCACATCCACAGTGCAAGTCATACATTCTCTGCTTGAGGCCTTTCACTACACAGACCTATGACAGCCTCTCCCAACTTTCATGCTGCGCAGAAGTTTCCCATGTTGTTCCTCCAAAGGCCTGGAGCTCCGCTGGTATCACAGTACTCCTGAGCCACTTGCTGCTGTGACTGTTCCAGCTTTCTCCATACAACCCCACCGTCCTCACAATCCATTGCATACCCAGAGTTCCTAAGTGACCATCAGGCTTGTTCTGTTACAGATTTAGATAGTACCTGCCTGAAGAGTTTCATCCTGCTCAGCCTTTCCTTTTCTACTCTGACTCCCCCTTCCTTTCAGTTTCTGAAGCCATATTATTCATTTGAAAGTTCTTGCCCCATAAGCATTTATACTAATTTAAGATTGAAATATATACAAATCTGTTTAATTTGACTTTAATATTAATATTAAAGTCTAGAAGGTAGAAATTAGTTTGATATGTATGTGTAACACTCAGAATCCACACATGTATGCATCTTGACATGTTAGGCATGGTTGCTCCCTCTCTCTAGTAACTAAGTCAGCATGACCACTTTCCCTCCAGTGATACTTCTGGATTGAACACTGAACCTGGGCAGCTCAGATGGGTTTCAGTCATGCCTATTGTTTATTCAGTGTGTCCCAGAAGGTAGAACTTTATCCATTGTGACATTGGGAGAGGAGTTAGCAGTGGTTATGGTGGGGATCAGCTGTGGAGGAGACAAGATCCCTGGAGAAGGAATGAGGTATGTATCAGGGTGGAGTCTACGACAGGAAGATAGACTTCCATGGAGACAGAAAAGCTCTGGCTGCAGACAAGCTGCTTCCCCACTGACACCCCACTAACACCATGTCTCCACACCTAAACCCTACCTCTTGTGCCCCAATAGGAGTTTATCAGCTACTTCCAAAGACATGATGAGGTCCTAACAGAACTGGAAAAAGCCACAAAACACTATAAAAAGCTAGAGGCTGTCTACAAAGAGTTTGAACTTCAGAAGGTCTGCTATCTGCCTCTCAACACATTCCTGCTGAAGCCCATTCAGAGGCTAGTACACTACCGTCTCCTGCTGAGCCGACTGTGTGGTCACTACTCAACTGGGCACCATGACTATGCTGACTGCCATGGTAAGTATGGGTACTGTGCCTTTATACCTTAAGGACTGAGTGGCTAGAAAGTGGGAATGAGTCTGGTATACCAGAAAGCTGGGCTTTCTCAAGTAGGAAGTGTAGACTGCACTGGCTCCCCGGAATCACTGGGCTAGCTACCTTGGTAATCAGAACTGGCTGCTGACCTTTACCCCCTTTCAGCTGTTGGAGGAAAGGTTCTTGGCCATACCAGTTCAGTGTCTGTCTGTTCCACAGACATAGACTTTCTCAGCCCCAAATCCAAACATGAAGAACCCTGATTATTTTACATGGCCATGGAGTGGAGTACTGTGACCAAGGTGGTCACCTGCTGTCCGGGTCACTGAAAGCTACAAGTACACTGTGGGGCGGGGGGGATATTCCTAGAATTGCCTATTTCTTGTGGACATTTCTGCCCTGGAAGCCTTGGCTCTCAAACTTACCAAATATTTGGACCAGAAGCCCATTAGAAGTTTTTGATACAGATGGATTATCATTTTTTTTAAATTTGTTAAAGGGATAAATGAATAAAATTTGAATTTTTTTTGTCTTTTTGAGACAGGGACTCCCTATAGCCCCAGCTGGCATGGAACTCACTCTGTAGACCAGGCTGGCCTGGAACTCACAGAGATCTGCCTGCCTCTGCCTCCCAGAGCTGGGACTACAGACGTGTGCCACCACACCTGGCCAAAATCTGAATCTTTTTAATATACAAAAAGAACTTTTAGTTATAGCATAAATTTAGTACAGGAAATTGCTGTCTATAAGTCATTGAAATTGTCATTAAAAATATAATTAGCTGGAGGTTGGACATGGTGGCACACACCTTAATCCCAGCACTCAAGAGGCAGAGGCAGGTGAATCTCTGAATTTGAGGCTAGCCTGATCTACACAGCCAGTTCCAGGCTAGCCAGGGCTACATAGTAAGACCCTGTATTAAACTTTTTTTTTAAAAAAAAATAAGGGCTGGAGAGATGGCTTAGCAATTAAAAGCACTTGCTGCTCTTGCAGAGGACCCAGATTTGGTTCCCAGCACCACATGGTAGCTCACAATCATCATCTATAACTTAGTTCCAAGGAATCCAATGCTCTCTTCTGGCCTTCTGAGGCACCAGGCACACATGGAGTACACATACACACATGCAGGCACTCACACATACACATAAAAATAAATAATCCTGGAGCTAGACATATGGCTCAGCAGTAAAGTGCACTTACTACTCTTCCAGAGGGCCCGAGTTCAGTTTCCAGTACCCATATCTGGTGACTCACAGTCTGTAACTGGCCTGTCTCCTTGGGCATGGCACACACAGATATACACACATACATATAATTTAAAAAATAAACTGGGTGTGTTGGCATACACCTTTAATCTCAGCACTCAGGAGGCAGAGGCAGGTGGCATTCAAGGCCAGCCTGGTCTACATAGTGAGTTCCAGGCCTACTGGAACAAAAAAGACAAAATAAATAGCAGGGAGGGGGGGAGCTGGAGAGACGGCTCAGCAGTTAAGAACACTGACTGTTCTTGCAGAAGACCTGGGTTTGAATCCCAGCACCCACATGGCATCTAACAACTGTCTGTAACTCCAGTTCCAGGGGATCTGACAGCTTCTTCTGACCTCTGCGGGCACTGCACAACACGGGTGCACATATCTACATGCAGGCAATACACACATACACATAAAATAATAAATAAAATATTATTTTAAAAAAAGAACACTGACGGTTCTTGCAGAAGACCCAGGTTTGAATTCCAGCACCCACATGGCAGCTAACAACTGTAACTCCAGTTCCAGGGGATCCGACAGCCTCTTCTGTCTTCCTCGGGCATTGCATGACATGGGTGCACCTACCTATATGCAGGCAATATACTCATACACATAAAATAAAAATAAATAAAAAAATTCTTTTGGTCTGAGACAGGGTCTCTCTGTAGCCCCAGCTGGCCTGGAACTCACTTTGTAGACCAGGCTGGCCTTGAACTCACAGAGATCCGCCTGCCTCTGCCTCCCAAGTGCTGGGATTAAGTGCTTGGATTAAAGACGTGTGCCACCACGCCCTACTTAAATAATTTTTTTTTTGTCTTTTTGAGACAGGGTCTCCCTGAAGTCCCAGCTGACCTGAACTCACTATGTAGACCAGGCTGGCCTTGAACTCACAACGATCTGCCTGCCTCTGCCTCCCAGTGCTGGGATTAAAGGCATGTGCCACCTCTCCCAGTTTAAATAAAATATTTTTTAAAACATAAGTAAAACTTTTTTTTTTTTTTTTTTTTTTTTTGTCTTTTTGAGACAGGGTCTCCCTGTAGCCCCAACTGTCCTGGAACTTACTATGTAGACCAGGCTGGTCTTGAACTCACAGAGATCCACCTGCTTCTGCCTCCCAGTGCTGGGATTAAAGGCATGCGCCACCACGCCCAGCAGTAAGTAAATCTCAAAAGGCATATATAATAAAAATGCAGATGGAAAACTATTTAGCATTTCCTTCTAGGTGCTTTCTCATAGCCACATATAAAGTCAGGCACTTTCCGTAAGGTGTATAAACAAACATACCACAGTGGCCTAGGTCTGTAATCCCAGTACTTGGGAAGTGGAGGCAGGAGGATCAGGCATTCAAGGCCAGCCACAGCAACACAGTAAGTTTGAGGCCAGAGATACATGAGATCCTGTCACAAACAAACATTTGAAGGGACTTTCTGACATATTTGATCCCATGAAGGAAATTATCTTCCTCTTCATTCTAAATCATTTTTCCTAAAAAGAAAAGAACAAAATTATTTTGTAAAAAGTTCAAATGCTCTAAAGGGACATGTGAAAAAAAATTATGTTTAAATTGTTCGTAGGCTTAGATGTAGGTAAATAGGTGGAACATTGCCTAGCATGCATGATGCCCTAGGTTTGATTTTGTTTGTTTCTTGTGGGTTTTTTTTTTTTTTTGTCTTTTTGAGACAGGGTCTCCCTGTAGCCACAGCTGGCTTTGTACTCACTATGTAGACCAGGCTGACCACAGAAATCTACCTGTCTCTGTCTCCTGAGTGCTGGGATTAAGGTGTGAACCACCATGCCCGGTGATGCCCTGGGGTTTGAGCCCCAGCACCACACACAGACAGACACACAGAAACAGTTTATTATTGAAAGTCATATCCCACAGTAGTTACAGAGCAAATGGAAGTATAGGGCTGGAAGAGAGGGCAGCCTAGACTCTAGGTGACCAAGGAAGGCCTGGTCTACATAGCAAATTCTAGGCCAGCTGAGACTACAAGGAGACCCTGTCTCAAATAAACAAATTTATTTTAATGGCATCACTGAGATTCTTCCTGATGATATCAATGTTTCATACATCTCATTTGTGAGAGTATTTTTATCATTTGTCAAGGATGATGAGCTCTGTATTTCCTTCTTAGCTGATTTTTGCCTCTGAAAACTACAAATACCCCGTGAGGAGCAACTAGCTGGAGCTTTCCTGGGACTCCATTAGGGTGGGGCTGAGAATAAGGGGGAGTTTCTGGGGGCCGGGGACCTTGTCAAGCTGCAGGTGGTAGGAACCACAAGATGGAAGACACTGTGGCCAGGCAGGAAGAACTGTCCCAATGAGTGGTTTCACCTAGGGAGATGAGTCACTGCATGCCGGACAGCGGTGAGGACAGAACTGGGTAAGCCCAGCAGCTACTTTTAGTATGGCCTGCTCATGGCTGGTGTCTGATTCTACGTTTATCTTACTGGGTTTCCTTTCTGATTATTAACCTCTTATATTTGCTTCAACTAATAAGATGAACATCTGCTCCAAGAGAAAAGTAAACTTAAACATTTAAAGTAAACTGAAACATTTCAAATGTTTAAAGCACAGTTAAATTACCTACTTAAAGCACCAATGTTGCAGCTGGGCATGGTAGCACAGTCATTTAGTCCCAGCACTAGGGAACTCAGGAGGCAGAGGCAGGCAGATCTCTGTGAGTTCAAGGCCAGCCTGGTCTCATAGCGAGTTCCAGGCCAGCATTATTGGTAAAACCTGTTCTCTCTCTACAAAGCTAGAGTATTTGGCTAGTGTACAGCTTGGATTCAACAAAGCTGAAGCTGCCAGAGCATCTGGAGGAGGCTGTACTTGAGCAGGAGTTTGTAGCAATGGGCTACAGTTCTGCAAAGAGTCAAGTAGAATGTTCCTTGACAGTAGAGGGCGGAAGGCCCTTTTCTAGGGCCCTCAACTGAGGGACCTCTCCACACAGATGCCCTGAAGGCCATCACAGAAGTGACCACTAAACTCCAGCAGAGCCTTATCCGGCTAGAGAACCTACAAAAGCTGACAGAGCTACAGCGGGACCTGGTTGGCATAGAAAACCTCATTGCTCCTGGCAGGGTAAGCAGCTATACTTTTGGGAAGGTTTTGTACCTACTGTCTTTAATTGAATTTTATTCATGTAGCATAAAACCCACCCTTTCACGGTAGTGAGCCAGTGGTTTTTAGGGTATTCACAAGATTATGCAACAACTATCACTAATTTATAACATTTTCATCACTCCAAAAAGAAATCCCCAAACTCATTAGTAGTCACTCCCCATTCTGGTAAAATCCAGTACAGAAAAGCCAACCTACAAGGTGCTGGAAGACTAAAGAAAAACATAGACATGCTAGCTAGGAGTGGTAGTTTAGACCTGTAAACCCAGCACTCAGGTGGCTCAGGCAGAAGGATCGTGAGTTTGAGGCCAGCTTGGGCTACATCGTGAGACAACCATCTTAGAAATTTGGGGTAGGAATCAGTAAAATATTATTTGTAATTTTTTTCTTCCATTCGCTGAGCTGTCTTTATTTTCTGGGATATATCATTTATAACATGAAAGCTTTTCATTTTAATGACATTCAAGTTCTCTTTAGTTATTTGTGCTTTGGGTGGTTACCTAACCCAAGGTGTGCCTAACCCAAGATGTATTCATTAGTTTTTTTCTAATAGTTCTCTCTCCCTTCCTCTTTACTCCTTTTCATACACATATATGTACATATTATTTTACTTATTTTATGTGTATGTGTATTGTCTGCATATGTGTAAGTGTACCCATGTTGTGCAGTGCCCACAGAGGTCAGAAGAGGGCATTGGATCCCAGCACTGGAGTTATGGATGGCTGTTAGCCATTATATGGGTGCTAGGAATTGAACGCAGGTCCTCTGCAAGAACAGTCAATGCTTTTAACTGCTGAACCATCTTGCCAGCCCCTATTTCTTTCCTTTTTAAGACAGTCTCATGTAACTCAGGCCAACCTCAAACTCACTATGTATCCAATGACCTTAAACTTCTGTTCTTTCTGTCCTTTTGCCTCCACCTCCAGAGTGATGATATTACAGGTAAATACTATACCACCTGTTTATGTGATGCTGAGGATCAAACACACTGCTTTATGCAGGCTAGACAAGCACCAACTGAGCCACAGTGCCAGCCCTCTAATCCACTTAGTCCAACTTTATTCTTTCACAAGTGGATATCAGCATATTTGTTGAATTGTCTTGTCATCCTTATTTAAAAAAAAAATCAGTGGAATGTAGTTATGTGGGCTTAATTTCTTGACTTTCAATTCTGTCCCAAAGGTCTGTATGTCTATTGACTGCATAGTGTCACCAAATCATTTGCTCTTAACTCAGTACTGATGACATAAGAACTAGACTGAACATGTTTAGTAACTGGCCCTGTGCATGTATAGGGCGAGGTGGACCTTCCTGCCTCCTAAGGAAAATGTTCTCCTGGGAGCTGTTTTTTCCATCTTATGTTCATGAGCATGTAAAGTCTTCCTGTTTGTGTCTCACTTGGTACATGGAAGGCTGCACCATCCCAGGCTCCAGTCCTGCTGATTGACCTCTATCCTTTGGCATTTCTTTTTCTTTTGGTCTTTTTGAGACAGGGTCTCCCTGGAACTCACTATGTAGACCAGCCTGGCCTTGAACTTACAGAGATCCACCTGCCTCTGCTTCCCAAGTGCTGGGATTAAAGGCGTGCACCACCATGCCCAGCTCCATCCTTTGATTTTTAAAGGGCTCTTGCTCTTTATTCAGTGCCTTAGTACTAGGCAGCTAATTCTAATTACCCAGTGTTTGTGGAGACCCTCCCACCTTCTCATACCTGATTCCACCCAGTCTTTCTCACAGGTGAACTCAGACAGCCTCTTCATAGCCTCATCTCCCAGATGTCTCTCCCTGGAGTGTACCTCTTGATTCCCTTATCTCAGGACAGATACACTGTAGGTGACTGGGGACTGTGTTGCTATCAGGATAGGCATCTGGTAACTAGGGGTACTGTTAAAGGGTAGGACAACTTTCCCAAAGGACTGTCATCCAGAAGGGTTTAAAGAAGCCACAGTTTGTGCTGGCAAGATGGCTCAGCAGATAGAGGTGTTTGTATTGCAGATCTGATGCCCTGGTTTTATCCTCAGATCCCAAAAAGATGGTAGGAAAGAACCAGTCCTAAGAGTTGCCTTCAGACTTCCACACACATTCTGTGGAATGTATATACGTGGCACACAATCAAGCCAGAGGTTGCTGCTAGATACCCTGACCTTTGGCCTAGCCAGCATATCTGTTACACTCTTACTCACAGGAGCCTTGACTATCTTTCAGGAGTTCATCCGTGAGGGCTGCCTTCACAAGCTCACCAAGAAGGGCCTGCAGCAAAGGATGTTCTTTCTGGTATGTTCCCTACCCCACCCTAAGCTGCCTCTCTACCATGGATCACATACTCTAGAGAAGAACGGGTAGGTATAATTCTGTAAGGAAAGCTGGCCCTCTTGTGCCTTGCTGTGCAGCTCAGCACCTGGAGGCTTCAGCCCAGGTAGCATCTCATAGTCATATGGGAACTAAGGAAGTCTGAGAGCGAGGAACAGAGAACCAGCTACTTTGCCCACCCTGGTCAGTGTGTTCCAGTTCCATGTTCCAGGTACCTGTCTGAGGACAAACAAAGCTGGAGTAGAGAAGCCCATGCTTCTGTGGCTGCAGGAATGTTCTGGCAGCCTAGTGGCAGTTGGGGAGGGGGGGTCTCAGTACTGGCCCAGAAACATGGGCACTTAGGACCAACCAGTGTGTCTCCATCTTACCAGGCTCCCTTCCAAGTGTCCCAGACTTGATCCATGCAAATGAGCAGCTTACTGAGCTGCACTAGCCACAGCTCTTCACAGCTCCCAGCTGGCTCCTAGACCAGGCTAGAGAGAGCTGATGGCTGGCCCCTCAGGTCTGTTGGCTCATGTGGCTACTACTTATTTCTGATCAAACGGGATCAAAAGAGTGAAGTAAAAGTTCCTTTTTGCCAAAAATCTCCGTAACTTGCATAGATAAACACATAATGGCCGCCTAGAGTTCACCATGTTCTAACTGTAAGGACACTGAAACTTTGTCCCTTATTTTTACCATTCACTTACCTAAAGCTTCCTTCCTGTCCCTCAGTTCTCAGATATGCTGCTGTACACAAGCAAAGGTATCACAAGGTCCAGCCACTTCCGGATCCGTGGCTTCCTTCCACTCTGTGGCATGCTGGTAAGTGACAGGCCTACCTGAAGTTTTGGCCTTTGGGTACTAGGCTGGGCCTGTGCCCCATCTCCCTCACACAATGGCAAGTTCAGTTTTTTTTCCAGTGGTGAGCAGGCAGCACTATGTTAAAGGAACCTGTTGGAATGTTCTTGTTCTGCCTTAACTCTTCATGGCTATTCTTCCTGACCCAGACCACACTGTCTTCAACCACTGGGTAGCCTTGTAGGTCAGCCTGGGCCCTTAGACTCTGACTCTCTCAGCATCTGATAGCATACTCCTACTCCACCCACAGCTTAGAGTGAGTTTTGGTGGTTAGCTTCCTCCATATGCTATATTGTTTAAGATTCTCACCCAGGAACGGGACTGTCCCTTCAACAGACACAAATCCTGTGTTCACTGTGCTGTGCTGTGCTTGATAGAAAGCTGCCTGGGGCTTGAGCCTTTGATGTTACTGCTGTGAACCTTCTGTCCACACCATACAGAGATGACTGAAATGGGAAAGCCACAGGACTTTACTGTGATCCAGTTTATCAACTTTGTCTTTGGGGATTAATGAAAACCCTGTTTAAGATCACATAGACTCGGAAGATCTAGAGGCTCTCTTTTCCTTCATGTAGATCCTGGACCCTGTCCTGAGACCTGCCCTGGGGACACTGAAGGCAGGGACAATGCAGTATGTGCCAGATGTCGTTTGGTCCAAAATACCTAATTGCTGTGGCATCTGCATCTAGTTATATATCTAATTACACTGGTCCTTCTGGTGCTGTAGTCTCACCGCGGCAGCATCACGCAGGGCTCCTTCCTGAATGACTCTCAAGGCCTCTGCTGTGACTAGATTTTGCTGAGTTCAGCAGGGGTCAGTTGGAATAGTCTCATATGCCACCTCTGGAAGCCAGCCCCACTGATGTTTTACCTTTAAAATACCTATAGAAAATAACAGAATATAAGATAAACATCACATGTGCCTGTGGCCTTGTAGACTTAGCTGTGCTGACTTGTCACCACTGTGTCACCTTCCACAAGCTGTTTTATGACTGTTACTATTTTTTCTCAGAGATTCATTCTAAGTACCTTTTCACATTCTCTGACTTCTCTGGTACAGCAGAGGTGAGTGGTAACACACAGCAAGCCCCAATGTCCTTGACCTAACATGGCCAGGTCTGATTTCTCAAGATTATACACCACATTATTGGCCTTCTGTCTCTCAAATATCCTCAAGTTCATCCTCACAGTGGTCCCACCATGCAAAGCACTTGTGGCTTTGAGTACTGTTGCTCATTAGTACAGCATTAGCACCACTAATGTGATCTAAATCTGCATCTGGCCCACAGTACAGGTCCATCCCTCCCGTTCCTACTCCAATAAGAGGGACACCATCATTTTACCTTACATCCTTGGATAACTGGTGGAACCAACCAAGACCCCATTCTTGACACTTTGTCTTTCTACAAAGCAATCACTTGGTGTGTCTATTGCTTGGTTTCCATCTGTACACATTGGTGAAACTATTATAGTAAAACTGGCTCACTAGCCAACCTTTACAGATGTGTTGTCTACATGTTCATGTATGTATATGTGCATGTGTGTTGGTGTGTGCATGCATGTGGAAGCCCAGAGGTCAACATCAGGTAAATCTTCTGAGTTGCTTGCTCTCCACCTTATTTATTTGGGTTTTTTGAGACAGGGTCTCCCTGTAGTCCTAGTTGGCCTAAAACCTGCTATGTAGACCAGGCTGGCCTTGATTTCACAGAGATCTGCCTGCCTCTGCCTCTCTAGTATTGGAATTAAAGGCATGCGCCACCTTGCCCAGCTCACCTTAGTTTTTGAGATGGTCTCTCACTGAACCTTGAGTTCACCAATTCAATTAGACTGGATGTCCAGTACATTCCAAAGATCTGCCTATCTCTGCCTCCCCCTGCTGAGATTACAACAGCACACTGCCACACCTAGCTTTCTACATGTGTGCTGGGGATCTAATCTCAAGTCTTCTTGCTTTCACAGCAGGTATAAAAGTCATCTGCCCAGTCCCAGGTCACAAATACTTTTATCAGACAGTAGTTACCTTTTTTAATTTTCTCTACAATTTGGTAGAACTTAAAACTCAATCCTGGAGAGGTGTCATTCTGTAATGGCTTCTGCCATGCCTGGGTATAGAGGGAGGATTACATACACATATGTGCAGGTGCCCTCAGAGACCAGAAGATGGCGTTGGATCCCCTGGAGCTGGACTTGCAGGCAATTTTGAGTTATCCAACTTGGGTGCTAGGAACCAAACTTTGGTCCTCTGCAATTTGCTACATGTTAGTAGCTTAAGATGTAGCATTTTTCTCTCCATACAGTCACTTTCCCCATCACTGATCTCAAAGACTGCCTCTATCATGTGACAACTTTCATCTTCTACTATTTCCTTATGGAAGAAGGAAAGTCTTCTTCCATTCCAGTCTGTTCCATTTCATTCTACCCAGTGTTGTCCATTCCTTTAATAGTAACTCAGGATAGTCACTGTGTGGGGGACTATATCCTACCTCATACTTGTCCTACATTTTTGCAGTGCCAGCAAGATAGCTCTGCAGATGAAGTGCTTGCTGTGCAAGCCTGACAACCTGAGTTAGAGCTCTGGGATCCTAAAACTGGAAGGAGAGAACCATGCCCCGCCCACACATCATACACACAATAATACTTTTAAAATATTCTTTGCCATTCTCAGGCATTTAACTCTTCCATGTAAACTTTGGAGTCATTTAGATAAATTCTTTCTCCAAACACCATTGGGATTTCAACTGAAATCTCATTAAATTTATATATTAATTTGGGGGGTCTTAACATCTAGACCCCATTCTGCCAAATGGCTGGTACAATGTCAATTCAGATCTTTTCTGGCCAGAGTGAGGCTCAGTGATTGGTATCCTGTGTGGGTCTGGCATGGGGTGCTGTTCATTCTCTGGGTCATCTGTAACTGGCAATCCTAGGGGCTAATATGCTTTTGTCTGGAATATTCAGAGGATGGAGGAATATGTACTTGGCTTGAGAAAGAAAAGGCAGTTTTCTCATGTTTACTGTCAAAAATAACAGAAATGTTGGATTTCAGCAAAGGTATTTTCATTATATAGTGAAGTTATCACTTTTTCTGACTTCTAACAGGATGAATTTTGTTACTCAACTTTCTAATGTCAACTCATCCTTACATTCCTTAGAACCATTTGGCTTGGTCCTGGGACTTCTCACATGTGCTTTTAGGTTTCATTTAGTGATTTTATCTTGGAATTTTTCCTTCGAAACACACCTGAGATCAATCTGCAATGGCTTTTTTTTCCCTACCTGGTATTGATAGGTTTTGGGTGCTAGGTTGACACATTTTCCAACTCCTTCTAGTATTGAAAATGCTCAACACCTTCTTTCTTGATTTTCAGCTAATAGTGTTGGACCCACCGGTGAGTACCTGGGTATCTTTAGTCCAGAGCTCAGCTACCTGGGTGGCAGCTGCTGTAGGGACCCCAGCTGTTTCCTCTGCTTCCGTTGTAGCTGTATAGACTTGGATTGCACAACCCTTCCAAGCTGGCTACACTTAGTGTTACTGGCCGTCATTCTGTGTATGCCTCAGGTTTGGGGTCAGTCAGTACTCTAGCCAATGGAATGTTACTTCTCTCACAGGTAGAAGAAAGTGAGAATGAGTGGTCTGTTCCTCACTGCTTCACCATTTATGCAGCTCAGAAAACAATTGTGGTGGCAGCCAGGTAAGGGCCCTCCGTGATTCCATTCAAGCAGGGATGACGCAGGAATAAGAACTTCTGTACCTTTCCAATCCTCTCTGAGTCGTGAGTGACCTTGGAGCCTCATGGGACTCAGCTCTGTTTCCAAGTTATGCAAGCAAAGGAGTCTCTTCTCCCTTGCAGGCAGAGGACTACTGACCTTTACAAGTGTTTCCCAAGAGACCAGTCAGGGTGCTGCTGAGCAGGTCCCTGCACCTTGGGGCTCAGGTTGCTTGACAAGGATGGGCCCCATGGCAGTTGGTCTCCTAGGGCACAAGCCCTTCCCCTCAGGCAAGGGGAAGTATTTTGTGGCCTTGATGAAAGTTCAGGGCCATAGCACAAGAGCAAAGGGAGTCTTTGTCCTCCGATCACTGAGCTCTTTGGGTGTAGTTCCTGCTCAGTGAAGTCTGTCCTGACTAGTCCTCTCTCACCAGGAAATGCCGACTCAGTCATGAACCAAAGCCAATCTTGTGTTCCAACATGAGACTTATCAAACAAACTAGTTCCAGGACTGAGGCCTACTGTGCTTCTCCAATTTCTCTCAGCTCACCTGGGATACAGGCTGGAGGGGGATTTCTGACAGTCCTCTGGACCCATGGGATGGGCATGTGTCCAGACCAGACCTATTCCCACACATTGGTATGCCAGGCCAGGAAGAGCTGTCCTGCAAGAGCCAGCTGACTAACCCTTCTCCTCTACAGCACTCGGCTAGAAAAAGAAAAGTGGATGCAAGACCTGAACATCGCAATCCAGGCAGCCAAGAATGTTGGCAACATGTCCCCAGTGCTGCTACGAGGCCCAGTGTGCACTCATACCCCCAGTGAGTTTTGACTCAAGGCACCTCAGGAGATACCCTCTCTGTGGCTCTGAAAGCTTTTCTGGAAATTGCTTTCCTGGTCTTGGCCAGCCTGCCAGGCCCTATGAACTTCCCTCCCTTGCATAAGAAACACTGGTGGCCACACCCTGGTGGAAGGGTTCTTGGGTTATTCTGGCACTGTATGGTTTGGTCTGGCTGCTGACCTGGGCACCAAGGGTCCATTTCCAGTTCCTCCTGAGAGCTGCTACACAGGTAGGTAGTACAAGATGTTGCTAACTCTCCCTAGGATCCTCTGATGAGGTCTCTATGGAAGAATCAGAAGATGATGCTCGGGGAGCCCAAGGCTCCCTGGAGGTGCAGGGCCAGCACCGAGCCAATACCACAATGCACGTATGCTGGTACCGGAACACAAGTGTGTCCAGGGCTGATCACAGCACAGCTGTTGAGGTATGACTGTCACAAACATGCATGTGAGCCCTTCTGCAAGCTTGCCCCATTAGTGTCCTGGCTACTGGGGATGCCCAGGTCAGAGACAGCTGCCTCCTGCTTCCCCTTGGCAGAAACTAGTTTGGAAAGTCTCACTCATCTACCCAAGCTCTCCTCAAAAAAGGATCTTCACACCAGAGGTTATCTGGTGTTTCCTGAGGACAGTCCAGGCAGGCAGCAGTTTACCTATGCTGAGAAGCACTGAACTGCCCACTTGCTGTCCAAGGACAGTGCTCTCTCTGGCCTACCCACAGCCTCTACCTCCCATTCTGGTCTTACACTTGCTCATCCCACTTACAGTGGATAGTGGCTGTGCACAACTGCCTTCACAGAACCTCAAGTTCTTCAGCGTAGCACCTCCATACATCCTTTACTGGATCTGCTCACTCTCCCCTGGCTCCAAGTTCTTCAACCTCTTCCCCATTCTTCTGGGCCAGGATCAAGAGGCCTTCATTGTGGGGATCTTGAGTTGGGGTCAGAGCACAGCAGGTCCTCAGTAAGGCCTGACACCTGCAGATCAGAGCAGGTAGGGTCTTCTTGGGAATCCAGCAGCACACATTAGACACAGCCCTACAGCCACTGCAGCCAGGACTCAGTGGGCTGGCTGGGGGTGTCTTGCCCAGTGCTGCACTTACATGCCTTTACCCATCACATCAAAGAGCCTTCCAGACTTCGTTCAGTGTGTTACCTCTTCACCCTCATCTTGCTTACATAGGTTTGTAGACGGTGTCTGTCAGAAAACTGATTTTACTGTAAGGAAAAAAGCAGTGTCCTGTGTTTGGGACATTGGTTCCCGGTCATGAACTTCCTGTTGATGGGTCCTAAGTATTCACAAATCCCGTTGATAAAAGATGCTGAGCAGGTTAGTAAGGCCAGGTGGGATCCAGTCCTCAGCCTGTGGGTGGGTGTTCTGACAGTATGTCAGGGTCACAGAGCTAGTGGCAGCTGCTGAGGAGGCTGCTGGCAAAGGCAGAGCTTTTGTCCTTTTCTACTGACAGAATCAGCTTTCAGGGTATTTGCTGAGGAAGTTCAAGAACAGCAGTGGCTGGCAGAAGCTCTGGGTGGTCTTCACAAACTTCTGCTTGTTCTTCTACAAAACTCATCAGGTATGCAGCCATAACTGAACCCTGGGCACAAAGACTGGAGGACACACACTTACTCATCCATTTCCTCTTGATTTTGGTGCCAGACATCAGTTTATCCCTCACCTACTATCCCAGCACCTTTTCTGTGAAAAGTGTTTTGAAACAGCACCTTCTCATCTGTGGGTCTCTCTGTACAAATTACCATTTTATTGGTAGAGTCAGTGGTGTCAAGGGAAGAGCTGGGGAGACACACAGTAATGGGCCCCTCCCCAGGGTGGACCTGCATCCTAGCTTCCACTAACCTGGTCCCTGTGCTGGCTTCCAGGACGACTACCCCCTAGCAAGCCTCCCGCTGCTGGGTTACAGTGTGAGCCTTCCTAGGGAGGCAGATGGCATCCACAAAGACTACGTCCTCAAACTCCAATTCAAATCTCATGTCTACTTCTTCCGAGCTGAGAGCAAGTACACATTTGAGAGGTGATTCTACCATGCTACTTCTGTTCAGCTGTCATTCAGAGATGGAGACAAACTTTCCAGCTCCTAGAAAGCAGGGATTGAGGACGTTTTGTTCCGGGTTGTGTGCATGTTTGTGTGAGAGTGCTTGTATACATGTGTGCACATGCAGAGGCAGAGGCCAACCTCAGGAGTCATTCACCGTGGTTTTAAAATTTATATACAGCCGGGTGTGGTGGCGCATGCCTTTAATCCCAGCACTCAGGAGGCAGAGGCAGGGGGATCTCTGTGAGTTTGAGGCCAGTCTGATCTACACAGGGAGTTTCAGGTCAGCTGGGGTTACAGGGAGACCCTATCTCAAAACGACAAAAAAACAAAACAAAACAAAAAAAACCCCAATTATTTATTGAGGAAGGGCACATGGGCAAGGATGTGGTGTGTGTGGAGGTCAGAGGACAGCTTTGTGGAGTTTGTTCTCTCCAGCCACTTTTATGTGGTTTCTGGGGATCAAGCTCAGGTTGCCAAGCTTACGCAGTGTCAAGTGCCTGTACCTGCTGAAGCATCTGGCTAGCCCAGTTCACTTTGTTTTTTGAGACAGGTGTCTTACACCTGGAATTCACTGATTAGGTTAGGCTGAGTGGCCAGTAAACCCAGCTCTACCTCACCAGTGCTACATTACTAGTGCACAGTACACCTGGCTTTTTACCCATGTGCTGGGGATCAAACTCAGTTCCTTGTGCTTGCCCAACACTTCACTGACTAGCTCTATTTTAGATCGTTCTTGGGAAGGTATGTGAACACATGCCCACTGGTCTGACGCTTTCTACAGGTGGATGGAAGTCATCGAGAGAGCCAGCAGCTCACCTGGGAGGCCCCCAAGTCTTACTCAGGACTGCTCACATCCCTACCCAGGGCTGGAGGCAGTGGCCAGAGAAAAGGAGGAATGATGAATGCTCACCCTGCATGGACAAGGACCTATGACAGACGCTTATAGGAGTGTAGACAGTCTCTCATCCTCAGAGCTTCTGATCTTTCCACCAAGATAGAAGATAGCATAGATCCTTATCATGGGCCTCCTGTGACTAGCAGGAAGGGCTCTGTCTCCAATGCCCCCCAAAACAGTGAAGGCCTGTGACTAGCTAGGATACTGGGACACATGTCTGAGTGGAAAAAAGAAATAAGGGCCTTTGGCCATAGCATGGGCATGGCCCCTGCTGAGCTCTGGCCTCAAACAGGGAGGTGGCTCCCACTCCCACCTATAGCACCAATGGCATTTCATACTGCCTCAGACAAGCACTGTATGTAGGCTTGGGACACGAGTCCCATGTTGCTCTGGGGGCTGAACTCCAGGTCACAGCAAAGTAAGAGTGTGGCAAAGGCCTCTCTGGTTCCCATCCCACATACCTCTAGAGAAGTGGAAACCAAAGACCCCTGAGGCCTGGGAGGGTGGGGCTTCTTATTAGCTCCCAGTGTTGCTTAACAACAAGCAGCAGGCCTGTGATTCTTCTGTTCACTCATGTGACTTAAAATAAATGGCATCCTCTCACCAGCATCCCCTTCTACCTTGCTTTGCTCTCCTCCAGTAGGCCAAAAGAAACTGTCAAGTTACACGGTGTCATTTAGAAGGAACGCTGACTGACACAGAGGCTACAGAAATCCCAGCTGGTCAGGATCCATACACCACAGTGTCTCCAATCCAGGTCTTTATTGAAAGTAGTGGGGCCTTCAATGCTCTATGAAAACTAACACCTTACTCTTAGAATGCTTAGCAAGAAGTTTCTTTAAAAAACAAAATATTCTGGATGATTCGAGTACTCATGAGAACACACAGTACCTGAACTGACACCACAAGGCAAAGAATGACCATCTTGGGCTACCATGCGACTCCCCCCCGCCCCACCCACCCAAGATAATGTCCCTGGAGTAGGGGAGGAGCCAGAGCTGGCCAATAGTTGCTCTGCTCCTTGGTCTGGCAGCTGCAGGGGCCTCGGAGTCTAAAACGCCATGCTAGCCCCCAAATGGCTGCCCAGTTTTCCCAAGGGCTCCTGGCTACTTGACAGCTTCAGCCAAGCAAGTAGGAGGTGGGCACTGGTGTACAGTGGCTGCTGTGTGAGGCAGCACACTATGGTGGGGCAGAAGGAAGGTGACCTGACCAGAAGGCAGGCTTGTGAGGCCTGCAGGCTGGCCTGTCCTTGTAGTTGCAACACAGCACAAAGGGGCTTCCAAGTCGGTCCTTTCAGAGCGCAAAACAAAAAGCACTCTTCTCTATGAAGAACAGCATACTCAGCGGGTAGATGTCAGGTGGTTCCTGCTGTGTGAGAACCTGTAAGAGAAAGGTCTATCACCATTCCTGGATCTGCTGCCTAGATGTATATCATATCAGTAGTTCCTCACAGGTTGGAAGGTATCCCCAGTGTTTCAAGTCTCAGAAAGAAGTGATTAGACCCAACCCTGCTGCTCCCACGAGCCACCAGCGTAGGTCTCTCCTACTGTGCAGGAGCAAAATCCAGAGGACCGGAAGAGGACCTGGTGAAATCAGCCTGTAACACTTCCCAGGAACCCTGAACCTGTGGGGCTGCTGAGAAGGGCCCAGTATTTGCTCTGCTTGTCCCCTCACAGGCATGAGTCAGTTCAGGGGTTCCCATTAGCAGCAGGCCAGCCCTCAGCTTGCAAAGCATCCATAGTGTCCCTGAAACACAGGACCTCTAGGAAACCACCAAGGTGTCAGAAGTCAGCTTCACAAAATGCTCTGCCATTGAGCCAGGAACTCTGTCCAGATACTGCTTGATACCTTCACACACAGCTCAAAGCCACAGGTGGAAGAGGCCCACTTGCCCCTTCCTCTTCAACCCATAAGGCAAAAACAACAGAGGATGAACTGCCCCTCCTGCAGTGAAGACTAAAGGAAGGACCAAGCAAATTGCTCCCAAGAATGAGTCCCAAGCTTCACCCTGTGTTCAGCTCCTCCACTGGTGGCACCCTACCTGGGTTGGGGCACTGTGCTCACCTCTGCACACGCTCCACCAGGTGCACCATCAGTTTGTCTGAGATGCCGGGGCAGGACTCCTCAGCCAGGCTGAAGGCATTCTCTAGCTCCTCCAGGGCAACCACGCTCCCACCGCTCTGTTTGTGTTTCTCTTTGAGCTGTAGAGAGATAGGAACCTCGTACCTAACTGGTACCTTAACCTGAGACCCACAGCCAGGAGGCCTACAGGAAGGTGGTACTGCATCTGCAGTGTGACCTGCCCTGTTGAATGAAGGCCATTTCAAGGCCCGTCTCCTCTGAGCTGGGTTCTCAAGAAGAGACCATATAGCTTCTTCCAAACTAAGGGTCAGGAAAGCAGTCACATGGGTCCAGCCTGATTTAAAAACTAATAGAGTGCACTATGGGGGCTTCGACAGACATCCCAGATCTGTGCCTCAGACTACATAGCATCATCAACCATTTCTAGGACCTCAGCTCCTGAGCATCCTCCTACTTAGGGAGTCACCCTAGGCTATACTGCACGCTGCCCACAACACACCCCTGAGTGTCTGTTTCCTATTCTGGCTGAGGTCACTGCTCAACACTACTGTACCCTTACTGTCCTCAGGGAGGCTCTACAAGCTCAACTCACCTACATCCTCTCCTCTCACCCTGGGCTCCAGGTGCTATCGTCACCCACAGGGGTGGGAACTGGTGATCCTGGGAAGGTAAGCCTCAACCTGTTACCCATTGCCTGAGCTGCAAATACACATGTGAATATTCCTGGTGCATTGTATTTCTGAGAATGACTCTGACCTCCCTTGGTAAGCAACGGTGATGTAAGGTCTAAATAGCCACAAAGGAATCACTTCCCTGCCCTAGGAATGATCCAGTATCAATAATCCTCCAAGTCATGGGCCATTAGTACTATGATGCCAGAAGACCTTAGAAGGTCTGGGAACACTAAAGGTCCTGGCCAGGTCAGTTGGTCCCAGCAATTTATGGTATGGTCCTTCCACTCAGGGAACTGGCCCCAACGCCGACCCACAACCATCTGCAAGATCTAGAAATAGGACTGGAAGCCCAGGCTCAGGGCACACTACAACATGGCTCTGCAGGGAGTGTCTCTGAAGAACAAAGCCACAGCCCCCACATGAGCACAGGCCCAGCCCTAATCTTACCTCTCCAAAGACAGGCTGGACAAGTGTGGACAAGCACTGGGACCTTGGCTGTCTCTTGACAGGCTCAGCAGGCTGCAATGGAGAAGCCAAGGCACTGGTAAGTGGAGGCAAAAGCGACCCATCTCTGGTCTTCTCCATCTCTAGCTTTCTTTAATTAGCTGAAAGGGCACACACCAGGGCCAAACCACAAGGGGATCCAAGTTATCAATTCTCAATAGGCCTCTACCTTTCAAGCACATGCACCAGGCCCAGTCAGCTCAATGCCACTCTGGGTGCAGAGACTACTCAAGCTCCTTGCCTAGACCTCAGGCAATGAGTGTTTAAAGGGCACACTGGAGCCGACTTTCCCAAGGCCTGGATACCCAGCCCACCTAGCAATCCATATTTGCTGCCCCAGGAGAGTTGAGGCAGGGCTGATATATGTGGGGCAGTGGCTCCTGGGCCAGGCCATGAACAGACCTTCTGTGAGCCATGCAGAGCTGTCCCCTTGTGCAGCTTGCTATGTGGACTTGGCCGGATAGTCGGGGGAAACGTCCAGATGGGGCCCTGCTCCCCGTCCTCAGCCTCGCCATCACTGAAGAGGATGAAGAATCAGAAGAGCTAGTGGGGACAGGGTTGGGAGTAACCATGGCAATGGGGCACACTTCACTTCTCTAAAGCAGCCTCATGGTCTTAGGCGGAGGCCCTGGGTGGTGGGCAGGGCTCTGATGCTGCAGATGTTGCAGCTTCCAGGTGACAGACAAAAAGGTCCTGTCCTTCAGCCTACAGGCTTTTTGCCTATTATCAGACCCTACCCCAGCAATCATCCCCAAGCCCTGCCTCTAGAAAGGAGATCCCACCCACATCAAAATACCCAGGACTAAGGGGTCTGCATAAAGGGAGCATTGAGAACAAAAAAGGGCCCTACATGTCAGAGTCCTCAGAGCTAGACTCCTCGCCGTGCCCCTCAGACTTCCAGCGCTTGTAGCGGTCGATGAGCTCAGTGAGAAAGGAGGTCTTCTTGGTGTAGCGTGTAATGAATTTGTGCTTCAGGAGCTCCTTGGCAGTGGGCCTCTGCCAGGGGGGCATGACACAGACAGCAGTCAGAGCTCCACCGTTACAGAAGTACATACAAGGCAGACAGGTAGGGATGTGAAGGCTAGGAAGGGAGTCATGGTGGCACTCTGGGCCCTGTCCCACCCAAAGGTAACACCCTCCTCCATAAGCTCCCAGACCCTCAGACAGAATGGTCCAGGTGGGGGTAGGCCTTACAAATCGGGGGTCCTTGTTGAGGCAGGCCTCCACAAACTCTTTGAAGGGCTTGCTGTGATGGCCCTCCAGTGTGGGTGGGTTGTTCTTGGGAATCAGGAACAGGACGCGCATGGGGTGGAGGTCAGAGTTTGGAGGCTCCCCCTTGGCCAACTCAATGGCTGTGATGCCCAAGGACCAGATGTCAGCCTAAACAGAGTACCACACAGGACAGTTATTCCATGTAACACTTTGAGCTGGTTGCAGTGTTGTCCTCCCAACTCTCACTCAGACCCACCTTGAAATCGTAGGCTGACTGCTTGATAACCTCAGGTGCCATCCAGAAGGGAGTACCCACAAACGTGTTCCTCTTGATCTGTGTATCTGTGAGCTGCCCTGCTACCCCGAAGTCTGCCAGCTTCACATCACCCTGCTCTGAGAGCAGCACATTGGCAGCTGCTCAACACAGGACAGGCGGACATCATCCTCAGCTCCACAGGCCCCCCAAGAAGCCCTGCATGAAGCTGCCTGACAAGGGATCGGATGCCATTACCTGGTCCCTGGGAACATCAGCAGGATGTCTTGGGACCTGAGTTTTGCTTGTCATTCTCAAGCCACTCTGGGTCAGTGTGCCAACACTGGCAGAAGTATGCAAGCTGGGGTGTCCACCAGTGTCCTACCTATGCTCCAGGGGCTCCCTGTTTGGCTTTTCTGACAAGCTCCAACAGTCACCCTCTCACCAAAGTGACTCTGACCCAAGGGCACAGCTGATACAGGCTAGTCAGGAAGCCCATTACTTGGCCCACATCATCCCCCACAGTGACATAATGGCTCAAGGTCCTCACTAACTCATTCCCTGTAGGCTGGCCCAGGTTTGTGTGTCATCAGCAACATAGCCACACAGCAGTGTTGCACAAACCCACACTTGATACTGAGATAAGACCCTGTCATACACTAAGTATACAGCTGGTTTCCTTCACAGATGGGGATGGGAGACTAGGAAGGTTCTGCTAGGCTGGGGAAGTAGCTCAGTGGCACAATGCTTGCTTAGCATGTACAAACCCCCTGCTTGGGTTCTGTCCCCAGTGCAGGCATTACAAAAAAAAAAGTCGGGCATGGTGGTGCATGCCTTTAGTTCCAGTACTTGGAAGGCAGAGACGGGCAAATCTTTGTGAGTTCAAGGCCAACCTACTAAGTTCCAGGACAGCTGGAGTTACAGAGAGACACCATCTCAAAAAAAAATTGAAAAAAAAAAAAAAAGATGGTTTTCCCCCACACACACACTTTCAGGTAGCAGGAGGGCTCCCATCATCCCACACCTCAGGTACCACCAGCCACTCGCCAACATGACCATCTTTCTAGGTCATGGGGCCCAGGGCAGGAGCCATGCACACCCCGCAGGACCTTTGATGTCTCGGTGGATCTTGCGCTCTGAGTGAAGATAATCCAGGCCCTTCAGGATCTCCCGCAGGATGGTGGCAATATAGGTCTCCTCCAGGGGACCAGGTTTCAGCTGGAGGACAACAGCAAGGAAGAGCCTCGGCGGCAGCCCTACACCCACCCCACCGCAGCACCTGAGCTCTACTACCTACCAATAGGCAATAAGACCCTGCAAAAGGCTGGGGCCTTTGTGGTCCTGAGTTCTGAAACAGTCTCTGCTGTCAAGGGGAATGCGATGAGAGGGATGGGGATGGGCCAAGTGGATGGAGATGACCAGCAGAGGCTCTTCCTAGACAACAAGCTATGTTTACCTTTTCTGTGACTATAAAGATGAGAATGGGTTCTTAGCCACAATGCTGACCTGCCCATCCTATCTGCCTGGGGGCTGTAATTCCACCTGTCTCCCCAGGTCAACAAAGATCCAAGACCCCTTTCAGCACCAACTGGGGCAGGATAATGACTAGTGATCTGGTTTTGAAACAGACAATTCCTGATTAACATCTAATGCACGGGTGACCTGTGGGAGCACAAGCCTGAAGTCTGCTGGGCAGTGGGTCCTGGGGCACTTGAAGGACAACCCCCCACAGCAAGCTGCTCACTGTTGCAGCCTGAACTCACCAGGTCCAGTGCAGAGCCACCACCCAGGTACTCCATGATAATCCACAGCTTGGTGCTCTGGGAGCAGAGAAACCTGTCAGCGCCTGGCAGCAAATGGAGGGGGCATGCCCAGGTGTGGAGTCCATAGGCTAGCCCCCCTAACCCTACCAATAGAAGTCTCACAGGGGCTCAGGCCACACCATGCTACTCCCTGCCATGAACCCCAAATAGGAAAGGGCTCTAGTCAGGCAAGATGGTGAATGCCTATAACCCCAGCACTTGGGAGGTAGAGGCAGGTATATCTCTATGAGTTCAAGGCCAATCTTGTCTACAGAGCAAGTTCCAGGCCAGCCAGGGTTACACAGTGAGACCCTGTCTCAAAAACAAAGCAAAACAAGGCTCCTGGCAGTACCCACAGACAGGCAGCTGGGTCATTATAGCTACTTTAGAGCCAAATGACCCTGCAGACTCTACCTGTGCCCTGCCCCAGCTGTACTTCTCCGAGAACAGGTTTTGCAGTCAAGCTGAGCTATGGGGCCTCTTTGCCCTTCCAGGGGGCTCTCCATGTACCCAGCAGTGTCCTGCTCTGCTCTCCCTTACCCTTGGAAACATCTCTGTCCCTCTGGAGACAATAGAGAAATCTGAGTACCCCACCCTGCAGACCCTCCTCCTCCCTGCAGGCACCTTCAGGTAGGAGCCGAAGTAGCGGGTAATATAAGGACTGTCACACTGGCTGAGCACAGTGATCTCCTGTTGGATGTCCTCGATCTCATCTTCAGCCTCCTCCAGGTCAATGATCTTAATGGCTACCACCTCCTTGGTGTGGTTGTCGATGCCTTTGTACACCTCCCCAAACGAGCCCTTGCCAATGCGGTCAAGCTTGGTGAAGAGTTCCTCTGGGTCCACACGAGAGTGCTACAGAAGCCAGTGGGGACAGAAGGTGGGGATAGAGCATGGGCAGCATCCATTAGAGGAAGTACCAGACAAGAAGAGGCTGCCCCACTGAGAGTATGCTCCACAGCAAGAAGCTGATCGACCTCAATTCTTTTCTGGCTTCTTTTAGCCCTTGTTCAGAAAACCTAAAGGTAACTCTTAACTCTCCACTCTCCAAGGACAGTGTCCTCAAAGGACTGGACACAGGTGAACGCTGATGTAGACTACAGGCCTTAGGTAATAACTACATCTCAAGATGCCTTCATCAGTTGTATAACAATGTACCATGCCAAGGTCTGATGTAATTACAGGAATGTGTGTGTGTAAGAGGGTATTTAAAAACTCTCATTTTCCTATAAATCTAAAACTAAAAAACAAACTCTTGGGCCAAGTGCGGTGGCACATGCCTTTAATCCCAGCATGCAGGAGGCAGAGGCAGGTGAATCTCTGTTGAGTTTGAAGCCAGACTGGTTTATATTTAAGAGTCCCAAGCCAGCCAGGGCTACATAGTGAGACCCTCTCATACACAACACAAAACAAACCAAAAAACTTTCTTAAAGACAGCATAAGGGGCTGGAGCAATGGCTCAGTGGTTAAGAGCACTGGTGACTCTTGCAGATGAGCCAGGTTCAATTCCTAGCACCCACATAGTGGCTAATAACCATTTGTAACTCCAGTTCCAGGGGAATCCAACACCCTCTTCTGACCTCCGCAGGCATTGCTTGACATGGGTGCACTTACATACATGCAGGCAAAATACTCATAGGAATAAAATAAAAATAAATAATCTAAAAAAGGCATGAGCTTAGCCAGGCGTGGTGGCGTATGCTTTTAATCCCAGCACTTGGGAGGCAGAAGCAGGCGGATCTATGTGAGTTCCAGGCCAGCTTGGTCTACACAGTGAGTTCCAGGCCAGCTGAAGCTACAGGGAGACCCTGTCTTAAAAAGAAAAAAAAAAAAAAAAAAGGGCTAACCTAAGTTCTCCACACTCCTGAAAGCACACCTACTCAATAGAGCTTCCCCACTCCCAAAGCAGTCCTCTACCACTACTCTCTCATTCCAACATTGAGTTGAATACTTTTTCAGAAGCTTGATTCTAGATAAAGAGCACACAAAGCTGCCCAAGACAGTTCCCAGATTTAAACAAGTAAGACCACTCATTGCTGAGCCAGCAATGTAGAAGGGGCCTAGTGTATCCCCAGTATAAGAACCAGGCTGGTGGGGGCTGGAGAGATGGCTCAGTGGTTAAGAACACTAGTTGTTCTTGCAGAAGACCTGGGTTCGAATCCCAGCACCCACATGGCAGCTAACAACTGTCCGTAACTCCAGTCCCAGGGGATCTGACAGCCTCTTCTGACCTCCTCGGGCATTGCACAACACAGGTGCATTTACCTACATGCAGGCAATACACACATACACATAAAATAAAAAAATTATTTTAATTTTTTTTAAAAGAACCAGGCTGGCAAAGGTGTGTCCTTGGCACAAACCACACTAGTCTTTGAATAAGAGCTGCCTTGAGGCATCAGGAACTTGTACAGCTCCTGGGCTTCTGCACAGAACAGGAAAGAAGCAACAGAACTTCTCCCAGGGCTACCACTGAGTGTTCCTGGTTCCTGCCCATGAGACTTTGAAGACTCCTGAAAGAATATGCTTTCTACACCACTGACCAATCAAACTGGCACAAACCCAGGTGATAAGCAGAGGAAAGCCCTAGTGCATTCTAGCACCCTTGAGGCTTAGCAAGCCTGGGCCGGGCTTGGGAATGGGAACCCACAGTCTCATTCAGCTTTCAGCCTTGCCAGGTTCCTCCATTAGGAAGTGGTCCCCAAAAGAGGACGTCCCCCAAACAGTATCTTGGTCCATTTTAGAGGGACCAACAGGGCCTGCAAGATGGCTCAGCTGGTAAAAGCACTTGCCACCAAGCCTGAGTTTGATCCCTAGGACCCACAAGTTGTCCTTTAATCTCCACACACAATGTATTGTACATGTGCACCCACACACTAAATAAATATATAAATAAATGTAATTTTAAAATGTGGAACTAGGCATAGTGGGTCATGACTTTAATCCCAGCACTTGGGAGTTAGACACAGGTGGATTTCACCAGGCCAGCTTTGTCTCCATAGCGAGTTCCAGGTCAGCTAGGACTACAGAAAGACCCTGTCACAAAAAGGGTGGTGTTTTTGTTTGTTTTTCCCAGACAGGGTCTTCCTGTAGCCCCAACTGGCCTGGAATTCACTGTGTGTAGATCAGGTTGGGATTAAAGGTGTACACTACCATACCCGGCAATATAATTAAAAAATAAAGAAAGAAAAAGGAGACCAAAGGCAGCATAAGGTGACCCTTCTCACTGCTCACCAGAACTGGCAGGCAAGTCCTAAGACCAGTTAACGCGGGGAACAGGAGATGCTTGGACCTGCTGCTTGGATATCCCCAAGGACAACACTGACAAATCTGACCAGAGAAATCAGGTGCTGCCTGAGGTCCCTTAGGCTTCACTGGCCAGGGAGTGGCATTTGCTCCCAGCCTTTCCACTCCAGCTAAATGTGTACAAAGGAGAAGCCAAGAATAAGCCTTCCAGGTATGGTTAGCTGATGAGTCAGACATCTCAGCTGTGTCCAGACTGGTACTGGATCAGAGCCAACCCTGATCAGAAAGAAACACCCCAGGCATGCACTCTCACCACGAACTTAGCAGCCTACAAACCACTGACAGGGATAAGTGGTCAGTGTGAGCATAATTTAATCTTCTGCTACTTCAAGACGAGGTGGTGACCACTTGATCCCCATGAAGTCCTCAAAGCCAAGTACAGGATAAAAGCTAAGCAGCAGCCCCTTTTCTGCCTGTTTCTGCTCCATCACGCCTAAAGACACTACCAAACTATCATCACTTAGCCCCACTAGTTCCTCAGCTACCCCGGCCCAGTGTGCAGCCAGAGGACACCTTGAAAGCCATCTCAGGGACTCCAGGTGGTTTGGCTGATGACCTGAGGTTACAAAGTCTTGTCACTGATTCAGTCCAGTGCCTTCTAAAGTGGCCTAAGAGCAGGGTGTGGTGGTACACACTTTTAATCCCAGCACTCAGGAGGCAGAGGGAGGTGGCTGTCTGGGCAATGGAGGTCAGCCTGGTCTACATAGTGAGTCCCAGGCCAACAGGACTACCAATAATAATATTATTATTATTATTATTATTAAAGTGGCCTAAAAAAAAAAAAACAAAAACAAAAAAAACCTAGAAGAGGTAGAACCATATCCCATGGTGTGACCCAGGACCACTATCCCTCCAATTCTCAGAAGCCCCTTTCCGATTCCTCAGGCTGCTGACGCTGTGTCCTCCCATGGTTCCCACCTCTAAGAAGAGGCTTGTATTAATAGCCCCACACACGAAGATCCAGAGTCAGAGCTGATCCACCACAACAGTCTGAGAAGGGCACCCTTAGGCCAAGCACTCAGACCGTCACTGCCTCATAGGAGAAAGCAGTAGAGCTCCCCCAAACCAGAGTTCTATGCTCAATAAGGAAGGTGCGAATTCCAGTCCTCATATCCCATGTGCCCACTACTATGGATTAGTTTCCTTAACAGAAACAGTGACAAGGACCTTCCTGGAATGGTCCTGACTATATGATGATGTGACACCTCAGAAGCAGTCCTGTTCCCAACCCCAGCTGGTGAAGGAAAGCTAAGCAGCTCCCCATCTGGGTATCTCAGGGTCCTCTTCTGTACAAGGATGTACTGTGAGCCATCACTCAAGCCACTTACCTAGCTCTGTGCAGTTGACCCCTCTTTTCCACATACGCCTCTGCCTATCTGTTAGTCATCCCACAAAACAAGAGGAAGAACCCAGTACACATCCTCAACTACCACCCAACGGTGCCAGGATTAATCACACAGTGCTCCCTCATAACAATCTGGGCCTTCCAGGGACGGGCAGGAACTGGCTAGGTGGAGGGAAAGTCAATGCAGAAACATAGGCTATGGTGGGAAGTACACACTATTATCACACAAAGGGACCGTCTCAAGGGACACCATGGCAGCCCTCTTAAAAGAAATCAGCCGCAGCAGTATCAAGCCACTTTCAGAAGCCAAGTATTATCCAGTCTAGGCTAGACCCAGGCCCCTAAAAAGACAAAAGGGTGCTTCCTGCCTTTGAGAAAGGTCCCCTGACCAGCACACCTCTCTACTCCCTCAGAGTGCACAGCTCCAATTCCTCATCCTGGGACTCACTGAAGCTAACCCTGAGGCTCTTAAAAATGGAGGCAGATTTTCCTCCCAGTGTGTTATATAATTACCAGAGACAAAATGTCAAAAATTTGTTTTTTAAATTGTTCAGTATCCGTCAGTAAGCCCAGGATCCCATCTGTGACAGCTGGTCCAGGAGCCCTGCCCACCAGCTGCGAATGCTCTTCCAGGCCAGTCTGCTTTCCTCCAAGGAGTCTTGACTCCAGTTCCTGCCTACACTCCGCGGACGCGCTTCCTGTCCGAACAGGCAGTTCTCAAGGATGCAGGAGGGGCGGGAGCCTGATACCCTGTGCCTACAGCGCTGACTCCCTCAACGGCACAAGTCAGCCTGCGCCTAGCCAAACAGGTCTGCAAAAGAGCAAAACCCACAGCCGTGACAGAATGAGCGCCATGGCGATACGCTGCACTTTCCCACCCGACTGTGTGTTACATCTGCTTTAAAACAACAAAAGGGGAGAGGAAGGGTCCAGAGCTAATCCCTGAGCCCCTGACCCTGAACCACCTGGCTAGCCTGGCCCTCCTCACCCTCCAGCTCTGTGGCTCGCGTTAGCATAGCATCCCGTTAGACACGTTCCGGACCAACCAGGTTCTGTACCCGGCAGCCTCTTGCACCTGTCCGTGCGTGCGCTGAGGATCGGGTCTTCGACCGGCTCCGGCTGGGCCAGACAGGACTCCCACCGCCCGGCAGGCCGCCCGGGACTCGGGCCTCGACCCTCCCGCCTCATGGGGAGAACTCGGCTCCGCGAACCACCGCCGCCCACGCGCTTACCTGATGCGCGAAGCCTCGGAGGTGAGCCATATCCCCGCCGGCGCGGCCGGCCGTCTGCCGCCGCCGCTCGGCCCGCCCGATCAGGCACCTGCGAGAGCACGCGGCCGCCGGTCAGGGGCAGCCGAGGAACGTACTTGGTGGCCTCCTCCGCCCGCGGCCGCGCTCCTCCCGTGGCGCCCTCCGCCCGTGGCCTCCTCCCTCCGCCCATGGCCGCCTCCTCCGCCCGCGAGGCCCGCTTCCACAGCCCCCACAACCCGCAGGGCGTGCCCCGCCTCCCCACACTCCAGGCGCGGCCCGCAGGCAGCTCCCACCTCCGGGCGGCTCCATCCCGGCCTCCCGGGCCGCTCCGCAACCCCAACGGCGGCTCGCTCTCGCAGCTCGGTCGCCCAGAACACCCCGGTTTCGCAGCCCGCTAGGTGGAGGCGGTGGCTACCAGGGAGTCGAGGCGAGCGCGCAGCTCTGTGGGACTAGGAGTTCCGCCGCTCGCCCGGTGCCCCGACCCTACCAGCTTTGGACTATAAGCCCCAGCAGGCTGTGCGGTAGGACGTGTGGTCGCGCAGGCGCACGACGGATCTATGAGCACCAGACTACAAGTCCCAACTGGCTGTGCTTCGAAGCGGCGGTGGCGAAGAACTGGCACATCAGGGACCAACGGGGACGCCGAGCTCTGTTCTGTAAGGGTCGCGCTGCGCCTCCCATGAGGCCGTGCGGCAGGACGGGCGGGGTGCGTGCGCAGTCGCCAGGAGGTGCCTCCGCTCTCCTCCCTCCGTTCTTGTCGGCTTTTCCCGCTGCCCTGCCGGACATTGGGGTGTACGAGTTTGGCCAGGTTCGCTGGGCCTACCCCTCCGCGTGGTGGCGAAGCCTCTCCCCGGCCGGTTACTATAGGCCCGGAGTCCGAGCCCTCATTGCTTTCGGTCCTGGCGCCGCCGCAAAGTCTACACTTTTGTCTACCCTCTTGTTTACACTTTTCATGGCACGTGTCTGGGCCTGGGCTCAGCAACCCTGGAGAAGTAGCCCATCACAGCCCATTTTTTGAGCGAGGGCTTCGCCTCTCCTGCTTCAGTTTCCCTATCTGTAAAGACAATATTGTAGAGCCCCAGCACAGGATCTGGTGCTGGGAAGGCTTATGTGGTCCCACAGAAAGGTTAGGCTCCCCAAGACTGGATGATGCCCTCCATCCTGTGAGGTTTCGTGAGGCCTGACATGAGTGGTCAGGTCTACAGTGTTTGCCCCTCTATACAGTCCGCTAGTGGAAGCGAGGTCTGTCCATCCTACTGACTCAGTATCCGTGATGGTTCAGTGCCGACTACCACGACCTCCCCATTCTCCCACTCAAGAGGGCTCAAGCTTTTTGTTTCTGCTTCCTGTTGGATTTTTTTCCAGTGCACTGCCCTGGGTCCTTCTCTGGCCCTATACCCAAGATGGCAACTTGTATCGCTGAATCTTTCATCCCATTACTACATGTTGACCTGATTTTGTTTGTGGTCTGCCTCGAAGAAGAAAGCTTCCTGAAAACAGGAACCATGCCACGCCAGCACAGACAGGCACTTGGATTGTGTGCGCTGAATGCATGAATGTAACCATTTCTGTGTATGTAAATAAATTCATACTGCATCTCTGGCTCATATGATCCTACAGTAGTGCTGGGCTGGGAATGGAGCTCAGTGGATAGAGCACTTGTCTAGCATGCATGAAGTCCTAAGTTTGGTTCCTGAGCACTGCATAACCAGGCCGGTAATTCCAACACTCAAGAAGAGGAGGCAGGCCAGTCAGAGGTTCAAGTCTATCCTCTAAGATTGAAGGACCCGACTGACAGCAGGAAGGCCATTTTAGAAAAAGAACTGTAATCAGCCATTCGATAAGCCAAGATTCTAACCCAGGTCTTGTGAAACTAGCAGTGGAAGATAGGACGTTTGCAGTCGGACCACCTGCCACCACCCTGAGGCCCCTACCGGGAAGTTAATGATAACAGCCCCTACCGGGAAGTTAAAGATAACAATCAGTTTCACCCATAGCCCCCTCTGAATTTGGCAATACTGTTTCCTCATACCTTGTACCCATTGAAATGCACTAATAATAATCTTGTAACCATGCATCTGCTTCTGTACCTTGCTTCTGCTCTATAAAAAGCCCCCCCAAACTAAGCCCGGCACGCAAGTCCTGACCCGAGCGGGACTCTGCGTCCGCAGGCGCCTGTGTATGAATAAATTCCTCTTGCTTTTGCATCCCGAAACTTGGTTTTGTCCCTGTGTGTTGAGCGCGATTCTTCATTTGGAGGTCCCACCGAGATCAGCTGCATCACGCCGGGGACAACCCGAGTACCGGGGAGGTAAGCTGGCCAGCCTAGGTGTTCTCGTTGTGTTGTTGTGTTGTCTTGAAGTAGTCATTGTGATTGGCTGTGTGGAGTTTGCTGCTGTTCTGTGTTACTTTGTCTTTTGTGGGGACCCACAA